GTCCGAAATGTTCCAACTCAACGTGAATTCCTCCTCTTCACCAACCAAATGACTTGGTCAGACGCTCGTGCTTTTCTAGAACAAACTGGGCTGGAGATGGCAGCTCCCCGTAACACACAGGAACGACAACAAGTTGCTAAGCTCCTGGCACGTCATCAGAAGCAGTGTACTAATGCATACTCGGAGGGTGTCTATGTATGGTTAGGCGTCTTGTTAAATGAAACCATCCAAAGTGTTGTGGACGTTAATAGCAAGACCATTACAGACTCGCCGTGGATCGACCGCAGTAAAAATATGTCCGGGCTTGTTGAAGTTCTTCCTGTTAGTCAAGATCACAACGGAGTGTGGCACCGGGAAAACCCCTTCGATGAACTCTGTTTTATCGGGAGGTACACACGGCCACCACCCGTCCTTCGCCTTCAGGGTCTGTGCCGGGACAAACTCAACAAGTTAGCTCAGGGGCTGGAATTTATTCTCACATCCACCACTCCTAAGGACGACCTCAATACCAGTGTTTACCTTCACGGTTATCATCGCTTTGACGTCACTCAAGAAGGTACTGACACCCTCTGGTGCTTAAGACGACGGGACGAGTTTATCACTAATCAAACGAATGCACTGGCTTGTACCTCTTCTAATGTCCCTCCAACTGGCCGCCACAACTGGCAGATACAAGAAAACTTTTGTCATAACACTGTGAACCAGAGCGTGTCCCTAGCGCTCAGTACCTGCACCTCTTATCAGTTTACCTGCCCGAATTCCTCTTGCATACGCCTAACGGAACTCTGCGATAACGTCTTCGACTGTAGCGACGGCACGGACGAGAGGAACTGCTTCACGTGTTTTACTCCTCCTGGTTACGTGGACGTCATGCCCCCGCAGATCCCAGTCGACATCACTGTACATGTTGAAGTGACCAAGATAGGCAACACCGACCTCCTCGCCTTCTCTCTGGACCTGGCAGCCACCTTCACCATTCGCTGGAGGGACAGTCGTCTTGAGTTCCGTCACTTGCAGCACAACACAGACAAAGCTCTGACCAACGTAGTCCTCAACCCCGAGCAGAAGGTGAGTGAGGTTTTCACAACAAAGTGGGTCTTACAACTTAAACGGCTGTGTGTTATCTTAATCACTTTTTAATAAAGTTTCAGCTGTGTTTTGAGGCTGATCTGAATCTGAATGCACTTATAAAATCCATTCGAAGAACATAATTATCCCAAAACTTATGCTTTATCATTACAGTTATTTTTCTATACTAAATTTTGTATATTTTAGTAAAAAAAAATTATCAACAATGGTCTAAAACTGTGAGCGACGGCCACTCACTAACAGGAACTCAGTTAAAGACACGAGGCAGTCGTGTGTGTGTGTCAGTACTAGTCCCCACAGCCGTAAAAACATACAAGTAATTCAGGTCGTGCGTCATGTGACAGTCCTATTTTATTGTCCATTATCATTCTATGGTTTTCCCTGAAATATACAACTGCTTGGTGGGGGTCTCAGTTTGCAAGATATTGGGACAACGCTTATACATGTAATATAAACCTCAGGGCTTATCAACCTTTTACGCGCTTGATGGACGTCAGACAACAATACAATATGCAGTTATTGACTTATTCAAATTCCATTCAAATATATGTCAAACGGGTGAATTTTAAGGATCATAAATCAGGGACTCAAAGTTGACAAGATAATATTTTCTGGCATGTATGTGTGTGTGTGTGTGTCCCTTTAAAGGGTTATACCTTAAACAAATGCACCTAGGGTAAGCTAAATGAAGGCTTATACTTGGTGATCATAAGAAGAGCTTCTAGCATTCTGGTGTATGTGTGTCTGTGGCAACAGGTATGGACGCCATGGTTGTGGGTGATGCAAGGGACACTGACGCCGGAGCAGGACGGGGAGCATAACCTCAGGGTACAGCGGCTGGGACAAGGCGCCGTGGTTAGTGGAGGTAAGTCACACACCGTCCTTATGATGCACCACGACCCCGTATCACCGCGTTCCTGCATGATGTTACCATGACCCTAACTTACGCAGACTTGACCTCACTCACCAGAAAGAGAGAGAGAGAGAGAGAGAGAGAGAGACTATTTTTCCTCCCTCCCACACTAACACATACCCTTCTCCCCGTGGTCAGAGTATATCACCTACAAGGGCTCACAGAACCCTCTGGTGTTGACGGTGACAGCCAAGGTAGTGGTGCAGTGCCACTTCGACCTAAGGATGTACCCGTGGGACCAGCAGCAGTGTGACGCCCAAGTACAAGTAAGCAGCTGGGACTAATTGTTTATAGTAAAAAAAATAGGAACCAAGGAGTACTGGTTTATATACGTTTGGCTTAAAGATCGAATTCACTCACTGAGCGAAAAAAAAAAGTCCACACTGAATTGGGGACGTTTTCAAATAACCAGGAAGGAAAATTTCGCGTCGTGGGTTTCTCCGAAAACCAAAACGAGTTTTGGACGGTCTCGAAATTCCTCTAATAAAACCTAACCCAACCAAACCTAATCTAACATAACCTAATTTAAACCAAATCTAATCTAAGCTAACCTAACCAAACCTTATCTAATATAATCTAATCTACCCTAACCTAACCCAATCTAGCCCAACCCAAGCTAACTTAAACCTAACCTAGCCTAGCCCAAACTAATATAACCAAACCTAACCTAACCTAACCTAACCAAGAGCAAAATTTCACTTTCTGGTTATTTTGTAGACGTCCACAATGCATTGTGATCGGTTTTTTTCGCTCATTAAGCCTAACACACACACACACACACACACACACACACACATATATATATATATATATATATATATATATATATATATATATATATATATATATATATATATATATATTTATATATATGCAAGTAAATCACTGTAGGTGCGCGTGATCTAGGTATATGCTGATAACCACAAGGAAAGAAGAAAACACGAAGTTCCCAAGCGCTTTCGTGTAATTCACATCTTCAGGGGTGAGTACAGACTAGAGAGAGAAATACAAATCAAGTGTATATATACAGAGAAGGGTCTGTATTACCCCTGAAGATGTACAAATTTTGAAAGCGCTTGGGAACTTCGTGTTTTCTTCTTTCCTTGTGGTTATCAGCATATACCTAGATCACGCACCTAATGATTTACTTGCATATATATATATATATATATATATATATATATATATATATATATATATATATATATATATATATATATATATATATATATATATATATATATATACACCAGTTCATTATGACCCAAGTATGTGTACTCAAGTTACCGTGTTTGACGGAGAGAAATTACCTCGAAAACTAACTGTAGTAGATGTCAGTACCACAAATACATCACTATAGTAGCCGTACAGTGTCTCATGAATTTATCCTAATAATTTATTCCAAGGAGTGAACTATCATTATCAACACTCGACTCCTTCTTTCATCGTTTCGTCACCACCACCAGGTAACACCATCATCTGACATCATCACCACCACCAGGTAACACCATCATCTGACATCATCACCACCACCAGGTAACACCATCATCTGACATCATCACCACCACCAGGTAACACCATCATCTGACATCATCACCACCACCAGGTAACACCATCATCTGACATCATCACCACCACCAGGTAACACCATCACCTGACATCATCACCACCACCAGGTAACACCATCACTTGACATCATCACCATCACTTGACATCATCACCATCACCAGGTAACATCATCATCTATCACCACCATCATCACCTTGATTCTAACAAAGGCCTTAGTTGTAATGAACCTCTTGAACGACTATTGACAACCATTTTAAAAGAGGTTTTATAGTGATTCTAACACACGTCTTATAGTGATTCTAACAAGTCTTATAGTGATTCTAACACACGTCTTATAGTGGTTCTAACAAGTCTTATAGTGATTCTAACACACGTCTTATAGTGATTCTAACACGTCCTGTACTGATTATGACACGTCTTATATTAATTCTAACACACGTCTTACAGTGATTCTAACACGTCCTGTACTGATTATGACACGTCTTATATTAATTCTAACACACGTCTTACAGTGGTTCTAACACGTCCTGTACTGATTCTAACACGTCTTATGCTGATTGTAAAGAACGTGGTAGGGATTATGAGAAAACTTTACAGCGGTGTTTCATAAGGTAATGGCTCAACCTCTCGACGAGTGGCTCAACACAACATGTGATGTTTTTTGTCCACTTGGAATTTTTGTCTGGTGTGATATTTACCAGTTGATTTGTCTGGTGAAATTTTTATCCAGAGAGGAGGAGGGGGAGGTTTTTTTTTTTCAAGTGGGATACTTGGCCTTGCCCCGTTGCTGGGAGAAGGGAGGCGCCATCACCTCCCTGTGGATCAATACCCAAGGGAAGGACGTGGGTGCTGCTGCTCCTGCCTTCAACTGTTTGTTTACAAGTCTCTCTCTGAACATTTCCGCATCATGTAGTGAAGGAAGGAAGGAAGGAAGGAAGGAAGGAAGGAAGGAAGGAAGGAAGGTGATAGCCGTAAAAGATTTTGACTCCACCTTCACACACGCATCCACACTGCTGCGTCGTCACTCACACGATGGGAGGGTTTTGTTTCGTACTGTACGGGGGAAAACTCCATCTAATTGAGGACTCGGCTCGAGGCAAATCTGCCGTGATGCAGGATCCATAAATCTTGGGAGTTTCGACCAATTACACGGAGTTTAAGATCGCATGCAGCGATGTGTAAACCAATAAGTGGTCGGTTTACAGAGGAGCACCGGACGTCCCAGATTGCATCGGCCAGTCGTAGTGCTGCTAGGGCCTACTGTGCGCGACGACCCAGCCCACCAGCCAATCAACTGTGCCTGATCTCTCTCGGCAACCAATAGCCTCTGCGGTGTTAGCCCATTGGGCGTGGCCCTCAGAGAAGAAGGGGCGGAGCTGACGGGGAAGCTGCAGGGATGCTGACTCTCATCTCCAGTCGGTTCCGCCAATTTAGTGTGACGGACAGAATCAAAACAAACTTGGGGGTGAAATCGCTTGTGAAATTGGTCATCGGGAGGACAAGGCTCTTATTTACACAGGCACCAAGTCAGGCCAGTGGACAATCGAACTAGTGGGACAAGCCTGTACATCAACGGAGGAGTATAACTACCTTGTTTACCTTACAGGTGAAACACCAACACCATCTAACTCAAAAGACACACGGAGTGAATCGGTGTTCCTAGTGTTTCCTAAAACCCCAGACATATGGAGCATTGAAGGAATGAGTTGGGAGTGAGAGGAGGAGAAGGAGGAGGGTGAGAGTGACAGAAGCTGGAGAGCCCTGAACAGGCCGACCATGACTCTGAAGGGTGACTGACTCGCTCCTGTATGTACCAGGTGAGTAGCAGGTGGTGGTGGGAGACAGGTAGGTGAGTCAGACAGGTGGTGGTGGGAGATAAGTAGGTGATAATGGGTGACAGACAGGTGGTGGTGGGAGAGACAGACGTGTGATGAGGAGATAGACAGACATGTGGTGAGGAGACAGACAGATGGTGATAGGAGAGACAGACATGTGGTGGTAGGAGACAGACAGGAGGTGGTAGGAGAGACAGACAGATGGTGAGGAGACAGACAGATGGTGGTAGGAGAGACAGACATGTGGTGGTAGGAGACAGACAGGTGGTGGTAGGAGACAGACAGGTGGTGGTGGGAAACAGACAGATGGTGGTGGGTGACAGGTGGTGGTAGGAGAAAGACAGGTGGTGGTGGGAGACAGACAGGTAGTGAGGAGACAGATGGTGGTGGGAGACAGACATGTGGTGGTAGGAGACAGACAGGAGGTGGTAGGAGAGACAGACAGATGGTGAGGAGACAGACAGATGGTGGTAGGAGAGACAGACATGTGGTGGTAGGAGACAGACAGGTGGTGGTAGGAGACAGACAGGTGGTGGTGGGAAACAGACAGATGGTGGTGGGTGACAGGTGGTGGTAGGAGAAAGACAGGTGGTGGTGGGAGACAGACAGGTAGTGAGGAGACAGACAGATGGTGGTGGGTGACAGATGGTGGTGGGAGACAGATAGGTGGTGGTTAAGGCCATGCTGTAGACATTATTGTCTTGGCTCCACTGCAGCCATGTTCCCCGCCCAGACCTGACCACCGCGCGCGTTAACAGTAACTTGGGTTGAGCAGCGCGGTGGCACCTTTGGATCAGGGAGAACACATAAATCATTATACAATATACTTTTTTATTACCGGGGTAACCAGAAGTATTTATAGGTTAGGTTAGGTTAGGTTAAGAAGTTACCAGTACAGTAGTTGGTTATGATATGTTGCCTAATAGTAAGAGGCTCTTATCGTAAACAATGTTTTCAGGGAAATCCGGGGAGTATTTCAGCCGTGATTGATTGTGGATACACTGTACACGACAAGTAGCGAATCACTAAGCCAATAATTAAGGTGTTGCGTTATGACTCAGTTTTTATTTCTTTGGTGGTACAGGTGTCTTCAGGCGCTACCTTGGTGATGCGGCCCGGATGTATCGAGCATGGATAAAAAAGACAAATAAAAGATAAGATCTATTAAGGGCGACGTCACACTGACATTCGTTCAACTTTTTTTTTGCCAACTTTCAGAAAATCGTCAAACTTTTTGTTGTGCACTGTCACACAGGCGTTTAGAACCAACTCGCCAGTTTCCCTCGTTCGACAACTGTCAACAAACAAGATGGATCCAACTAACGAAGAAAGCACAGCAATTCTATGCCTTTTTTGGTGTATGAGGAGACCTGGTGATCCCAGAGACAGCGGCGTCGCATTATCTGGTCCACCAAGAAATCCTCGGAGAAGCGTGTCCTTACTTGGGAAATTATATTGTCTGTTGGCTCCGTCACATTGTTCCCGCGTGGTCGAAATGTAAACAACAAACAGCATTTTCTTACCATTTTAAAATCACGAAATCAATCATAATAATGAGTCATCTTGGGAAGGAGAGTAATAATTATTTCATAATAATTCAAGTTTTATATTTTAAGTAATTTTCTGTATAACTACTTGTAGTATCAATTGTAGATCTTGAGTTGACTTTGGTAAGTTGTCTTACGAGTCGTCAGTGCAGACGGTCTGTACTGTTTGACAAACAGCTGACGATTCGTGAAAAAAGTCGACAGTAATGAAAAAGTTGCAAATAGAAATGTTAGTGTGACGCCGCCTTTAGTAGGATAGAGATTGGCTTGGTTAGTTTAGTTAGATACATTACAAGTAGTTTAATGAAGTGCTCCCACAATTAGATCTGACGACTCATATTTTAGTATGAAAATATTCTACAAGATTCTCAACTTTCTCTCTCTCTGATATTGATACATAGGTTTCCACACAGTGACCTAAAGAGACTGCGAAGATGAGTTCTTTCGGTGATGTGGGTCAGGCACTGTCCTGCGTCACTAAAAGAGCAGTCCGTATACAATAAGTGTACTCTGTCACAGTGGACACCTGCAGTACATATTTATCCTGGCTTTATATAAAAACCCATGTGTTGTATCATTCATTATTTTATAGTTCATTCATATTTAACTCAAAAAACAGCATTAATTTTAATCACTAGACAGTGACTGGTCAGTGGGCGGGTGTCCAAGATCATTTGAGATCCAAAATGGCGGACGGCGGCATCAGCTGAAGCGCCAGTGCAGAGTCTATATTACAGAAGGATGACTCACTCAACGTTAAATTTGCCCCGACTGTGGTGCCGCCTAACATAATATTATGTGATAACACCAGATTATTCACAAACAAAATATTATATGTAGTCTGTAGGTTATTGACATCCAAGTTTATAGAATATTTGCCTGCTTAATATAAGGTTATTACTCCCTTCGATTTTTCAATAAAAGCGATGGTGGTAGCTGCAGTTTTGCACCATCTAACATGAAAAGAATATCAGAGATAATTAATCAATGCACGTTACTGTAGTTGTTCTGAATAAGCTACTATTTTTGCAGTGATATAAAGAAAATCCCTGTTATTACAAGTGGCAGTAACACTACCTGTTCACAAAACTAATGTACAGCACAGCTTCATAACTACACAACACAATATATTCACTCAATCTGACCAAGGACAACTGACAAAGTCATGAGAGGTTTGTTTCCAGCAGAGCCCTTAGGTCAGCAACCTCTGGTGTTCACAGGGCCAGACAAGCGGTGTTTCCAACGTGGCACAACCAATGTGATCTTGGAAATTTAATACTGGAGGTTTTATGAACAGGCTTCTACAGTGAACAAAGTGTGAAGATCAGGCGACATTATTCGATGTTTAAATAATAATAATAATAATTATTATTATTATTATTATTATTATTACTATTATTATTATTATTATTATTATTATTATTATTATATATATATATTATTATCATTTATTTCGTGAAACTAGATAGGCAAAAAAAATCGGAATCTATACCTTATTTATCTCATTACTGCTCTGATGTTCACGAGCACTTCTGAAGAGTGGATAGTGATTAGTAGTAATGCCTTAGATAAAGAAAGATCTCATAATAACTAATGAGCGGTTAAGATTGCCAGAAGTACTGTAGGTTTACGACTCCTCTCTGGAGCCTTCTGTACTCTAAAGAAAGACAGGTTGATGTTCCTTTTGGTGATGTCGGAACCATTTATAGCTGCACAGTAGTTATATATCATTGTAACTTAAAATAATGTGCACAAGAAAATAAAACAATGCATTCGCCGAAATGTGCGTCTCCCTCCCTTTAATCTCTGGTGGCCAACTATTATTTATATTTAGAAGCGCCACAATCGGGGGTGAAAGAGTTCACCCAATGGAGTGATCCTTCCTCCTTTAGCAGCAGTTCTTAACCTGGGGTACATATACCGAACCCACCCGGGGTAATTATATACTCGATTTAGTTGTCAAACAGAGAAAACCTCATTAATAATGTCGAGGTATGGAACGAACTTGCTAACAGCGATCACAAAGAAATAAATTCCAGTTAGAATTTCAGGGCAGCCGCAAGGAAAATTCCACTAAAGTCCCAGATTTCAGAAGGGCAAAATTTGATAGTTTGAAGAGGCAGCTGAGAGAAGGGGTATCACGCTTGGGGGTGAACTACATGACCTCACATGAGGTGACCTCTCACAGTGTACCCACAGAGGGCGACCTCACCTTACCGAGAGACCTGGTAACAAGATCTGAGGTTGCCGAGTTCCACAACAATTTAAATAATGAGTTACTTAATGTACAAAGGCAGAACATACCATACAGAAAACTCAGATCAAACAACAATGACCCTAAATGGATAAATAATTATTAAAAGAATATTATTGGACAAAGGAAGGCTATAGGTAGGAGAATAAATCGTGGTGAAGTCTACCTCCGAGATTATTATAAGGTATTGGCCGATAGGGTTAAGACTGAGATAAGAAAAGCAAAGAGGAATAATGAACTGAAGATAGCAAGGGAGGCGAAGGCTAACCCCAAGGAATTCCATCAAATGTATCAAACTAAAACATGAGAAAAGATTGGACCATTACAGTCAGATACCGGTGAGCTAACTGATAATGACGGAGAAATGAGCATTAATCTGAATAAATATTTGTCAACAGTTTTCACCACCGAAAATTTAAACATGACACCCGTGGCAGTGACTCTATACAGAGATAGCGAAGAAAATAAATTAAGCGAGATAGTAGTGACTAGTAACGATGTTAGTAAGCAAATAGACAAACTAATGCCTAATAAGTCACCAGGTCCCGACGAGATATTTGCCAGAGTATTAAAGGAATGTAAGGAAGAGCTTAGTATGCCCTTAGCAAAGTTGTTTAACATGTCCGTAAAAACGGGTGTAGTACCAGAATCCTAGAGGATAGCGAATGTAATACTGATTTTCAAGAAGGGAGATAGATCACTATCCTCTAACTACCGACCAATCAGTCTAACATCAATTGTAGGCAAATTACTGGAAGCAATCATTTCAAACTCTATTCGAAATCACCTGGAGAAGCACAAGTTGATCAATGATTCCCAACATGTCTTCAGAAGCGGGCATTCATGTCTAACTAATCTCTTAACATTCTTTTCATCTGTTTTCGAATCAGAGGACGAGGAGCACAATTATGATGTGGTATATCTCGACTTTAGCAAAGCCTTCGACAGAGTCCCCCACGAAAGACTAATAAGAAAAGTGTAGGCTCATGGCATCAAAGGAGATATTCTAAAATGGATTAGGGCGTGGTTACAGGACAGGAAACAGCGAGTGAGCATTAACGGCACAAAATCCCATTGGAGCAACGTCACTAGTGGAGTTCCCCCATGGCTCAGTGCTCGGACAATTATTATTTATTATATACATAAACGACATAGATATTGGCGTAGACAGCAACATAAGTAAATTTGCTGATGACACTAAAATAGGGCGTGTAATTAATTCTGACGATGACTCTGCAAAACTACAGGAAGATCTAAACAAATTTTTCGAATGGTCGGAAGAATGGCAGATGAGATTCAATGTGGACAAATGTAAAGTACGCAGTATAGGAGATGTAAACAGGGAAACCAGATACCAGATGAACAACGATGTTATTGAGAAATCCGACTGCGAGAAAGAGTTATGAGTAATGATAAGTAGGAATCTTTAGCCAAGTAAACAAAGTGTATTTGCTCGAAACAAGTCTAATAAAGTACTTAGGTTCATACAAAGGAGTGTTAGTTACAAGACTAGAGAGGTCATCCTAAAACTATATCTTGCGCTTGTGAGATCTCACTTAAACATAAGAACATAAGAAAATAAGGAGTCTGCAATAGGCCGGTTGGCCTGTGCATGGCAGCTCCTGTCGAGAGTTACTACCACTCTCTATATTACAGAATGGATACAGAATCCTTGGAAAGAATTCAGAGGAAAATGACAAGACTAATCCCAGGCATTAGGAACCTTGAGTACAGAGACAGGTTAAAGCTTCTTAATTTGCACTCCCTCGAGAGACGTAGAGTGAGGGGCGATATGATCGAGGTGTATAAATGGAAGTCATGGCTGAACAAAGGGGACATTACAAAGGTACTCAAACTAACCAACCAGGAGCGAACTCGTAACAGTGGTTTTAAATTAGACAAATTTAGATTTGGGCGCGAAATAGGTAAACATTGGTTCGGAATAGAGTAGTGGATGAGTGGAACAAGTTACCAAATATCATCATTAACTCGAATACGCTGGATAGCTTCAAACATAGGTTGGATGGATATATGAGCAATAGAGGTTGGGTGTAAATGGGACTGCCCAGTATGGGCCAATAGGCCCGCTGCAGTTTCCTCCATTCTTATGTTCTTATACCCCCGGTTACGAGGCAGCAACAATGTTTTTGTCAATACCCATGTTTTGTTGTTTTAGATGTGTAATAATGATTAACATAATATATTTTCTCTTTGATCACACTTTATTATTCCATAGTACTATAATAAACGCTCTGCCTTTCTGTCTCATCAATATTATTTATATTTTATTTAATTTTTTTGTTAAAATTTAAACGAACAGCCAATGAGTTAGAATAACTCAAGCTCCCCAATGGAGGTAAATAAAGATATTCGTCATGTCGAGCCAGAACCATTCAGTTGGTGGTATAGTGAGGGCGTCGTGAGTTATCGCAAATCAGCAATGACCACACGGCATTTACAGTACACATCAGAAACAAAGTATTTAAAAGTATCTTTGCACCGGTATTCCTTATGAAGTAGAAGATACATTATTATTTGATTTGGGTTGACTTTACATTTTTGCGATAGTAAATACTTGGCTGTGACTCCCCAACTACCCAGATGAATTACCTTGTTCTGTACAGACATTCGTACATCAGACAGAAACATTCTATAGATAAATCACCATCGATGGATATAAAAAAAATACATTGCATGAGAACTCTCTGGTGTGTCAAACACGTCAACTGCATCATTAATACAATAAACATTACAATATTTTGAAGCCTAATGCTATGAGTTTCTTCATTTCATCATTACTGCCTTCCGTGTATCGGTTAATTCATCGTCCTAAGTTACTAGACCATCGTATAACGGTAAACACTGTATCATGCTGGTATAACGATGACGCCAGGTGATGAAGGCAGCCGTCCGCATATGGTCACTGAGCTTCCACCAACTCCTCCCAATTCTTCTTCGCATAACCTACCATACCTGAGCCAGACCTGACCTGACCTGATATCACCAAACCTATAACTTAACCGAAACTACACTAACCTAACCTGCACGACTAAACTTAGTCTAACCTAACGTAATCTGCCCATATATAACCCAGCCTAATATTCACCTGGGTTGGGAAAAGCGACACGATTTTTGAATTTTGATCCCATGGACAAACTTTTCACGTCTACACACACACACACACACACACACACACACACACACACACACACACACTGAAAATGACTATTGTGTCAGCTTACAACCCCCGACATGAACCCCATAATATTGTACGTTATATGCAAAAGACAGCTGTCCAGTACTGAGTGACCAAGTTTCCTCATTAGCTGAAAACAATCCTGTACTCGTGTTTACAGGTGAGTCCAAGTAGTTTTTCCTCACGTCAACACATATCTCTTAATTTCGTACAATTTTTAATGAGAACTATCAGAGCCATGTTACTATAATAATTCTCAAGGTTAACTTCGAAGCTCTTCATCTTCACCTCAGTTGACCTTTGACTTCCCCGTAGATTGGACATGGACTTCCCGCTGGCGGGTCACTACACGGCGTGCAGCTACATGACCTCGGGTGACCCCCGCCTGCTGGCCCCCCCTGAGCTCCGGGTCGCTGCCCTTCACGCTGCCCCACGTCCTGACCTCCAAGTCAAGCACGAACTATCTAGGTGAGTCAAGTACCCGCTAAGGTGAGTCAAGTACCCATTTCTGACAGCCGTCCACCACACGTGTTGTTAGAATTGTCCATGAAAGATTCCTACAAGAAGCAGCCCTGATTTTACCAAACATTAATTATCTTTGTAATTACTTGTAATTTACAGTATATTAAGTCATATTAATATTCCCATAACCCACTGATAAATTTGATAACCACAATTCCTTAATTTCGTTAAATTCACCATACAGTTGGCCTAAATATTTTTTAATATGGCAACACTGTATGATCTACGCTTCCGAGTCTGAAGAAGCACCACAGTGAGATACAGCCCCGGTGCTTCCTTAGGATGTATTATGTAAGTGTATATGATTTTTTCTTTTGGTTTTAGTATTTTAATTTGTTCACAATTCTATTAATATATGAATGAATGAATATTTCCTTGAGCTAGTTATGGAATATTCGGCGTGTATTTTGGCTAGAGGCGGGCGGCGACTCGTAGGTTACCCAACTGAAACCGAGATCCGTGTTTGGTGCTTTAATGACCCAGGTCCTGTAATTATAGTAATGGTAGAAGACGAGTGCAATTAGTGACGTCACATCTCCCGGACAGGTCAGAGCTGAGTCGTTGTTTGGACTACCGACCAACGCCTGACTATACCTCTAGGCCTGACCTCAGAGCCGACCTCCTGCCCGTCGAACTACGAGCTGACCTCGTCCGCCGTGACCTCCGCACCGACCTCAGAACACACGAGGGGTCAGCGGGTCACCGTGAAGACACAAGAGGACACCTGAAGCACGATAACAGGCCGTCGGATATCGAAAACGACCCAACCTTTGTCCTCGCTGACTCAAACGCCGCCACCAGCAAGAGGTCAAGGTAGGTCACGTTCCTTTGCTGCCCACGTTAAGTAAACCCAAATAGGTCGTGAGTCCTCTTTGTTCTCTGCCCAACTCAGACAAGTCTTAAGTAATGTTGTGAGCATTACAGTTCCCCGGTAAAGAATGACGAGCTATACTACAGTGTTTACAGAATCCTATTATATTTGTGTTTTAGATTCCATTGAGGTACTGTATGTGCTCAACATAACTGTCCTTACATTATGTCAGTTGTAATTTAAGGACTTTAAGCGGAATTGTAACGAACGCATCAGGATCGTGCCTTGTGTACATAAGATGATGGAGTACGCTTAATAACAGTCACGGACGCGTAGCTTTCTCAAGGGACGAGAATAAACACAAACATCAAGGACTTTATAAACATGAAATATTTTTTTAAAGATCGTGGGACTTTGTAAACATCCTATACATTGTCTGTTCAGTAGCCTTGTGTGTATAGAAATCAGGCGACAGCCACCAGTGTACCCGTGTGACAGTCTGGATATAATTGTATAAATAATATTATTGTATTCAATCGTAACTCATTATACTTTGACTTAACCTACCTTGAGCTGATTTAAGCTAACCAAAGTTAACTTAACCTAAGATTTTGTTAGATTTAATCTAACCTAACCTTTTCTTCTCCTTATTTATGCTTAACCTTACGTAACCTCAACCTAAACTAACCCTAACCTTACCTAACTTTAACCTAACCTAACCTAACTTTAACCTAACCAACTGACAGGTAATGTTCATGGCCCCCTTGCAGATAGTGAGGGACTAGACTCAACTGCCGTCCTTCTCTGCTTGAATTCGTTAGATTACTAGATCTGTACCTATTAGTATTGGGGCCCATAAGGACTGGGGCCCATTAGGACTAGGAGACCATTAGTACTCGGGCCCAAGTGTTGATCTTAACCGCGTGTTGGTTTTCTAGGGAGAGGGAACACGTTCTGGCCATGACCAAGGAAGAGAGGAGGAGACGGAGGCGGGCTACCCTCAAGTACCGCACAGCGCACGCCAGCCGAGAACGCCTCAGGGTGGAGGCCTTCAATGTGGCCTTCGCGGAGTTGCGTAAGCTGCTACCCACGCTGCCGCCGGACAAGAAGCTCTCCAAGATAGAGATTCTCCGCCTGGCCATCTGCTACATCGCCTACCTCAACCACGTGCTGGATGTGTGAGTGTCTGTGGACACGTACCTCACAGCGTCACTGGCCACAAACATGTTAGGTCCCCTGTTCACAGACTTCTCAGGGTCCCGTGGCCACACCAGACAGCCATGGAGTCCCGTTGCTGGTGTCTGTGTGGCCACTCCCTCGTAATAAACCTAGGGCAATATGCAGCAGACCACACAAGGCCATAACCCCGGTTACCGACTCATGTTACCCACAGATAAAGGGACGAGACAAAGCGTGTGTTGGAGGAATGTAACAGACGGGAGACCAACACACCTAAGTTTGGCTCAAAGGATCACCGTCCTGAGTGAATTCCTTGTTTGAGCCAAGAAAAATATTCATTCCGAAAAGAATGAGCAGTGCGTTCAAGATTTGGTCTCAAAATTGTTCTTCTGTGTTTTGTGTTCACTTTCCCCGCCTCAAACAGCAATGTTTATCATGGCTTTTAGGTTTATTTATCATGACATTTTTATGTACCTACGTCCTCATAATCTCAATATTAACAGTACCAATCGCCAAGGAAATGCAGACCAAATAAATTATTGTAAATTACAAAATACATCGCAAATATATTTCGAAAAAATCTCTCATGGAACCAAAATTATCCTTCAAATATTAAATAATAAATCCGATATGGGTAAAGAATAGCGTCATGGCAACAAATACATTTTTTTTTTCATTTTGACGATAAATAAATATCCGTCACATAATAATGATCCCTCGTTATATACTGTCATATATAACAAAAATATATCTTTACTTACTGTTACAACACCAACCCGTACCTCACACACGGTTAATATAAGAGCTTAAATACAGCAGGTGTTGTAATATTGGGATAACTGCTGTAATATTGCTGTAACTGCTGTAATATTGCTGTAACTGCTGTAATATTGCGGTAACTGCTGTAATATTGGGGTAACTGCTGTAATATTGAGATAATTGCTGTAACTGCTGTAATATTGCGGTAACTGCTGTAATATTGCAGTAATGTTGCGGTAACTGCTGTAACATTGCAGTATCTGCAGTAATATTGCGGTAACTGCTGTAGCATTGCAGTAACTGTTGTAATATTGCGGTAACTGCTGTAATATTACGGTAACTGCTGTAATATTGCAGTAACTGCTGTAATATTGCGGTAACTGCTGGAATATTGCGGTAACTGCTGTAATATTACCGTAACTGCTGTAATATTACGGTAACAGCTGTAATATTGCTGTAACTGCTGTAATATTGCGGTAACTACTGTAATCTTTCGGTAACTGCAGTAATATTGTGGTGGCTACTATCATATTATGGTAACTTCTGTAATATTGTGGTAACTGCTGTAATATTGTATTAACTACTGTAATATTGCGGTAACTGTTGTAATGTTGCATTAACTGCTGTAATATTACGGTAACTGTTGTAATATCGCGGTAACTGCTGCAATATTGCGGTAACTGCTGTAATATCACGGTAATTGCTGTAATATCACGGTATCTCCTGTAATATTACGATAACTGCTGTAATATTGCGGTAACTGCTGTAATATTGCGGTAACTGCTGTAATATTATGGTAACTGCTGTAATATTTCGGTAATAGCTGTAATATTGTTGTAACTGCTGTAATAATGCGGTAACTACTGTAATCTTCAGGTAACGGCTGTAATATTGCTGTAACTGCTGTAATATTGCGGTAACTGCTGTAATATTTTGGTAACAGCTGTAATATGGCAGTAACTACTGTAATATTGCGGTAACTACTGTAATCTTTCGATAACAGCTGTAATATTGCTGTAACTGCTGTAATATTGCGGTTACTGCTGTAATATTGCGGTAACAGTTGTAATAATGCGGTAACTACGGTAATATTAATGTAACGGCTGTAATATTGCTGTAACTGCTGTAATATTGCTGCAACTGTTGTAATATTGCGGTAACTGCTGTAATATTGCTGTAACAGTTGTAATATTGCAGTAACTACTGTAATATTTCGGTAACTGCAGTAATATTGTGGTGGCTAGTATCATATAACGGTAACTTCTGTAATATTGCGGTAACTGCTGTAATATTGTATTAACTACTGTAATATTACGGTAACTGTTGTAATATTGCGGTAACTGCTGTAATATTACAGTAACTACTATCACATTACGGTAGTGGCTGTAAATATCACGTAGTGGCGCAGTTATAAGAAATTTGGCGGGGGAAGGGGCGCAGTTATATACTGATCAAACGTTGTGTGAGGTTATCTTGGTTCACTTCTGAATTTATTTAACATTTTACCCCAAGATATTCCTGCTGTGTGAATGACTACTTTTTATTTCTGCGTATTGCAAATAGTTTATGTCTATGTAATATCTTATTTACGTATAAGCTCCAGCGTGTGTGTGTGTGTGTGTGTGTGTGTGTGTGTGTGTGTGTGTGTGTGTGTGTGTGTGTGTGTGTGTGTGTGTGTGTGTGTGTGTGTGTGTGTGTGTGTGTGTGTGTGTGCGTGTGTGTGTGTGTGTGTGTGTGTGTGTGTGTGTGTGTGTGCGTGTGTCGTTATTGGTAGCCTTGTAATGTTGGTAGCCTCTCAATGTAGGTTGACTGCAAGTTGTTGGCAACCCTATTAGTAATAAAAGTAGCCTGGTACTGTTGGCAGCCTATTAATGTAGGTAGCCTGATACTGTTGGCAGCCTATTAACAGGTAGCCTGGATACTGCTGGCAGCCTATTAATGTAGGTAGCTCTGATACTGCTAAGTGTTTGCACGTAGGTAGCCTGATACTGCTGGCAGCCCACAATGTAGTAGCCTGATACTGCTGGGCGTTTCCACAATGGGTAGCCTGGATACCGTTAAGCAGCCCACAATGGGTAGCCAGATACTGCTGGCAGCTCATTAACGTCGGTTGCCTGCAGTATTGGCAGCCTGGCTAATGGCCTGACATCGCTGGCACGCCTATTAATGTAGGTAGCCTAATACTGTTGGCGTTTCCATAATGTAGGTAGCCTGATACTGTTGGCAGCCCACAATGTAGGTAGCCTGATACTGTTGGCAGCCTATTAATGTAGGTAGCCTGATACTGCTGGCAGCCTATTAATGTAGGTAGCCTGATACTGTTGGCAGCCTATTAATGTAGGTAGCCTGATACTGCTGGCAGCCTATTAATGTAGGTAGCCTGATACTGTTGGCAGCCTATTAATGTAGGTAGCCTGATACTGTTGGCAGCCTATTAATGTAGGTAGCCTGATACTGTTGGCAGCCTATTAATGTAGGTAGCCTGATACTGCTGGCAGCCTATTAATGTAGGTAGCCTGATACTGTTGGCAGCCTATTAATGTAGGTAGCCTGATACTGTTGGCAGCCTATTAATGTAGGTAGCCTGATACTGTTGGCAGCCTATTAATGTAGGTAGCCTGATACTGTTGGCAGCCCATTAATGTAGGTAGCCTGATACCGTTGGCAGCCTATTAATGTAGGTAGCCTGATACTGTTGGCAGCTCTATTAATGTCGGTTGCTCTGGTAGTATTGGCAGCCTATTAATGTAGGTAGCCCTGATACTGTTAAGTGCTTCATTAATGTAGGTAGCCTGATACTGTTGGCAGCCTATTAATGTAGGTAGCCTGATACTGTTGGCAGCCTATTAATGTAGGTAGCCTGGTACTGTTGGTAGCTCTATTAATGTCGGTTGCCTGATACTGTTGGCAGCCTATTAATGTAGGTAGCCTGATACTGTTGGTAGCCTATTAATGTAGGTAGCCTGATACTGTTGGCAGCCTATTAATGTAGGTAGCCTGATACTGTTGGCAGCCTATTAATGTAGGTAGCCTGATACTGTTGGTAGCCTATTAATGTAGGTAGCCTGATACTGTTGGCAGCCTATTAATGTCGGTTGCCTGGTACTGTTGGCAGCCTATTAATGTCGGTTGCCTGGTAGTATTGGCAGCTTAATAATGTTGGCAGCTTGGTAATAACCACCAACATTTATCAACCACTTACAGAGTCACCATTAATGAGTAAGTGTAATTAAGAGAGAGACTATAGAGTGTTACTATTGCAATACTCATGGTTGTGAGGAGGACAGGAAGGCCAGTGTTGTACCTGTAGTAAGAGACAAGGTGGCTGCAACAATGGTCAGCACTACATCCTGCCAGGTCACGTACACACCATCTATTCACATGTACGGGAATGTAATAAAATATATTGATCTTCTTGTATTGTTTTCTTGCCACTAAGCGCCCTCTGTCAGGTAAAGTATATGGCATGAATATCAAGTAGCCGTGTCATACAACTTTTAATTAATTCATTAAATTACATTATATAACTGAAATCTTTGTTACTTACTTTACTAACATCATGTACAGTATTTACTAGTATTAGGGATTATTTCTCAAAGGGGGAGGGGAGTTATTTTTGTATCTACCTAGTAATAAATCCAGTCAAGTTATTAAATACTGGCACCGAGCAGAGTAGTGTTGACTGGTGGGAAAATACGTCAAACAAGTTTAGTATTTACGAAAAACACATTAAATTTATAAAAAATTATTTGAAGCGCCGGGAGTGATAAGTGAGAGGGGGGCGGACAAAACACCTGCCGTCCACACGAGTCTTGTTTACAAGTCATTTGAGTCAGTGGTGGACTAACGAGGGGAGGAGGCTACTACTACAGGGCTTGGATTAGCTGAGAGAGGGAGAGGGGAGAAGGAGAGAGTGAATGCTGTCCCCGGCTGCATATTAATTGAGTTCCAGTTCTATTGGGCCCCAAATCAACCTTCACTAACCGTGAAATCTGGGGCCCTTGAAGGACTGGGACCCCTTTCCAATTGAGCACTAACCTTAAAGGTTCGAATAAATTCGGTTAGGACCTCTTAGGACTGGGCCCCATCCTTGACAATGTCTTAGATTAAACTGGGGCCCAATAGAACTAAACGCTCTGACCCTCTCCCTATTAGTCTGGGAGTCATTTGACAAGTCGCCGTGGCGCCCATCCTGCAAGCACACTCCCACTTTGTGATATTATCATCACTCCACAACCTCATCAAAGCCCTAGCGGAAACACTTGTAAGGCCACCGGTCCCACCACTGTGCGCTACCCATGTACAAAATGTTACATCAGGTGAGAAATTCACCAGCTCCTCCACAATGAGGTCCATTGCAGTAAATATACAGAATAAGTAATAATGGCAGGAACTTTTTATCCATACAATTTATCACTATTACTCACATCGCCCGAGAAGTATAGCATATCATGAAGATTAGACACCCAGCATGCCCTCCTGAAGATCAGGCACCCTAGCTCCCTCCCGAAAATTAGGCACCACGAGTGCCCTCCAGAAGATTAGGCACGATGAGTGCCCTCCTGAAGATTAGGCACCACGAGTGCCCTCCTGAAGATTAGACACGATGAGTGCCCTCCTGAAGATTAGACACGATGAGTGCCCTCCTGAAGATTAAGCACCACGAGTGCCCTCCAGAAGATTAGGCACGATGAGTGCCCTCCTGAAGATTAGACACGATGAGTGCCCTCCTGAAGATTAAGCACCACGAGTGCCCTCCAGAAGATTAGGCACGATGAGTGCCCTCCTGAAGATTAAGCACCACGAGTGCCCTCCTGAGGATTAGACACGATGAGTGCCCTCCAGAAGATTAGGCACGATGAGTGCCCTCCTGAAGATTAGGCACCACGAGTGCCCTCCTGAAGATTAGACACCCAGAATGCCCTCCTGAAGATTAGGTACCACGAGTGCCCTCCTGAGGATTAGACACCCAGAATGCCCTCCTGAAGATTAGGTACCACGAGTGCCCTCCTGAGGATTAGGCACACCTCCCCATAGAACACCCCCAACAACACCCTCCCTCCTACCACACTGCCAACAACACCCTCCCTCCTACCACACCTCCAGCAACACCCTCCCTCCTACAACACCACAGCAACACCTCCCAAAACCACACTGCCAGCAACACCTCTACCACACCTCCAGCAACACCCTCCCCCTACAACACCCCCAGCAACACCCTCCTAAACCACACTGCCAGCAACAGTCTCCTCCCTACAATACCAACAAAACACCCACCTCCTACCACACCCCCGGCAACACCCTCCTCCTAACAAACTGGCAGCAACACCCTCCCTCCTACCACACCCCAACAACAACACCCTCCCTCCTACAACACCCCAACACCCTCCCTCCTACAACACCCCCCGCAACACCTCCCTCCTAACAAACTGCCAACAACACCCTCCTCTCCTACCCCAGCAACACCCTCCCCTCCTACAACACACGCCAACAACACCCTCTCCTACCACACTGCCAACAACACCCTCCCCTCCTGCAATGCACCTTTCCTCTCCTACCCCCAACAACACCTTCCCTCCTACAAAACCCCCACCAACACCCTCCTCCTACCACACTGCCAGCAACACCCTCCTCCTACAACACCCCAACAACACCTCCCTCCTACAAAACCCCCAACACCCTCCCTCCTACAACACCCCCCAACATCCTCTCCTTCCCACACCCCTGGCAACCTCCCTCTACTAACCCCACCAACAACCTCCCTCCTTCCACCCCCTGCCCAACACCCTCCCGCCTACAACACTACCAGCGACACCCTCTTTCCTACAACACACCCCAACAACAACACCCTCCCTCCTACAACACACCCAACATCACCCTCCTCCTACAACACCCCCAGCAACACCTCCTCCTACAACCAGACCAACACCCTCCTCCTACAACACCCCCAACAACACTCTCCCTCCTACGACACTGCCAACAACACTCCTCTACAACACTGCCAACAACACCTCCCTCCTACCCCCCAACAACATCTCCCTCCTACCTGCCAACCCTACCTCATACAACACCCCCACACAACACTCCTAACACTGCCAGCAACACCCTCCCTCCTACAACACCCCCAGCAACACCTCCCCTCCTACACCCCAGCAACACCTCCATCCTACCACACCCCCACCACCCTCCTCTCTCCAACCCCCAGCACCCTCTCTCCTACAACACCCCCAGCAGCAACCCACCTATCACACCTCAGCCACACCTCCCTCCCACACACCCCAGCAACACTCTCCCTCCTACAACCCCCAGCAATACCCTCCTTACAACACCCCCAACCACCGCCCCTACAATACCCCGTCAACACTGTACACCCCTAGTAACACCCTCCCTCCTACAACACCCCAGCAATACCCTCCTA